ATGTGGAGGAATCTCTTACAAAGCTATCTAGAGTTTAGAACAAGCTCAAAATTCTCTTACACTGTTACATTTCCATAGCTCCCAAAGCTTCCTATTAGTTCAGCCCCCAGCTGCATTCCGGGTGGCCCCAATTCACCACACCATCAACACCAACCTGCATCTTGGGAAATACTTGCTTGAATGAAATAGCTAAGCTCTAAGGCAACAGAGCTTCTTGAAACACTAGCAACTCTTCCACCCACAATTTCTTTACTTTGGACTCTAAAGAGTCACTGATACTAAACAAAGCTCCCTCTGCCTCTCCCTCCCCCTCCCTCTCCCCTCTCCCCCTCCTTGTCTCTCTCAGTATCTTTGCATTCAGGCTGGAGAAAGAGAAGAACAGCAAAGCTGTCCTGGCAGGACTAGTTGAGCCACGGTGTCCTCATACTGAGTATAAGTAATCTCAGGGAGCAGCAGCATCACACAAGGCCGCTCTGTGAGCCTGAAGGGGCAGGACAGAAACAGCACTGCACCCTCTTCACCTTCTCCATGGTTTTGAATGCAGACAAAACCCAGACATTGTTCAAGCCACAAGACACCAAATGTCCCATCCTCCTGCTAAATGAGACACTGCTGCTTGACAGCCACGGCTTTTGTGCTGCTCTCGCCTGCCCTCTTATGGTGATGCTTCAGCAGACACAGCCACAGAAGCACCCCTGCCTCCTGAGAGCACCCCCTCCCTAGAATGAACCCCCTTTCTTGGACCCTCTCTCAGATCCTAGAACCAAAGCCGTGGCCTGTGAGTCATTATGGCACCTCTTACAGAGAGGCCTCCTCGTCCCCTTTGCCCCAGACAGTCTGAGTTCAACCACATGTGTATCCCGGTGGTCTCTGAGTGTCCACCCAGCAGAGCCAACATAGACATTCCTAAGCAAGGCTGGAAAGATGTCTACTCCAAGGCACTCAGCCACATCTGCCGTAACAGGCTGCTTTTTTGAGTGCATTTCCCAAAGTGTAGATCACAGAGCAAGAGACCCTTTCGTTCTGTCCCTCCAAAGAACCTGTCTGGTGAGGTATGGTATTAGCAAGCAACTGCAGCCTGCCTGCTATGTGTTTACTAGAGGCAGGGATGGGTTTCTGAGGACAGGGATTGAATGTGACAGACCAGTGCTCCACCATTGATCCTGGTGGGCCCTAATCCTGGGTGACCCTCAGAAAGCCACAGTGACTCACCTTGAATTACTAGTGCATATGCAGACATCCGAGTAGCAGCGGGAGGTAGCCTTGACTATACTCCAGCCTGGCTGTCCCCAGGCCTCAGGCTTTTTAGGACACTGTATCCCTTGCTTATTATCTCCTCATCAAAGCACATTTAATGCCCTAGTTTTAAATGCAACAATTTAAGTCATCTGCTGCATAAAATGATGCAGAATCATAATCTAAAGTCCTATGGTACCTGGATGTAAATCTCAAACATCTGTGGGAGATAAAAAGTTTCCAGTTATAGCACATGACTTTTGACATCTTCAAAAATAGCTATTAGCTTTTAAGTATGAACATTGCTTTAATTTGTTTATCTTGGGAGTACCAGAAACTGAACTCAAGACCTTGTGCTTGCCAGGTAGGCATTTATCCCACTGAGCTATATCCCTGGCTGTTAAATATGAATAGTGTATTCTACCTGTTCTGCTTCTCTCAAAAGTAGAAACATACTTTCTTATTAATGGTTTATAATAACACCAAAAAGTTACTGCACCAACTACGTACTCAATACTGTTTAAAGCATCTTGTGCCCATTACTTCTAACCCTCACAAAATACCTAAAGGTGTAAGCAATTATCCCCTTTGTACAGATGAGTGCCTGGACATGATATGCTCCAGACACACAATGCTAAGCAGCCGCACCGAGGTCTGACCCACTTATGTGACTTATCAAGCTGAGGATGCTGTGTGTGTGCCCTCCATTGTGCCATTGGTGAAAAGCAGCGTCTGCTAAGTGCCATAACTTCTAGCACTCAGTATTGCGCAGTTCTTTAACTGTTCATCTAGTCTGCCTCTGAATGTGTGCTCGGGGCCAGGGGCACATAGCCACACCTCACCACTAACTGCTATCATTTCGGCTATATATTTGGAAAAAGGTGCACTCCTAAAACACAACTGAGAAAGTGGAGCCTAACCATAGTGCAGCTATTACAGTGATTACACGGGATGATGTGGTTCTCTCTGTGCTCTCTACTGCCTAGCGAGGGCTTTGGCCATCTGAAGTCAGCATCTCCAGTCAGAGCTTCAGCTCTCCAAGACACAATTTCTCCTCCTGTAGCCTCCCTGAGTATATTGCTTCCAGTGTGGCCCAGGAAGAGCAGAGAGAACTTCAGAGGATACTGAAATGATAACATGGATTAAAGCAAAAATGCCTGTTTCCTTCACACCTCTTTTTATTCTTTCTCTTTTTTTCTTTTTTCTTTTTGTTTTTTTATGCTGATCAATTAAGTAATACTCTAGGAAAATGTATTCCAGTGCTGGACGACCTAAAACGTGGAGGCACAAAAGGGCATTCCACCAATAATCCACACGCACTAACTTATCCATTTCATCAAATTGCATCACTATCCTTACACTAGTATTTAAATAATTGTCATATGTGGGCATGTTTGTTTTAATCCAATTACACAGCATCATAAAAATACACTACTCTCTTGCTTGTAGCTACGGGAATCTTCTAAATATCAGCGACTTAGATTATTTTTAGATTCGGAGACATTCAGTACACCAGAGCTCTGCAATTTTAAAACACAATGCAAACTTGGGAGGAGCAAAATGAAAGCCAATCACTTGTCTGTGAATATCATTTTTGCACTCTGCTCATCAGTATCCCAACCAACTAAAGTAGAAACCGTTCACATTAGAATCACATCTAATACCCTGCCCAGGTACCTTTCCAGGATCCAAATGGATTTTAGGAGAATTCTTTACAAAGTATCTCTTTCAGAGGTGGGGCTCAGGCCAGGAGGCAACATCAGTTTACTCCAGTCAGGCTATAAAGAAAGAAGCGTGGCACTGGGTGGGGCCGATAGTTTGCATCTGTGCTTGCCGATTCTCATTGGTACCATTTCTATGAAAATCAAGGGTGTGGAAACGAGTGCCAGAGTAAAAATCCGACAGAATGCTTTGTGTGCCCGGCCCTGCCCACCCATCTAATCCTTAGCTGTTTATTTTAATCACTAAAAGCTGTATCTCCCTAATGCCTGAGAAGACGGCGAGGGACCTAAGCAAACCACAGAACTATCATGCTGTGGCTCATATTTCTCCTGTCACAACAGTCTTTCCTCCTTAGGAAGAATACACTAGCGTGGAACCAAGCGGCGCTGGCTGCGTAGCCCCCTCAGGACTATCACTCATTAAAAGCATCTGGCCAAAAATCCATGTTTGGCCTCACCGCCCACTCTGCCCCACGCTCTTGCTTTCAAACTCACTGTCAAAATAAAATGACTCTGTACCGGTCACTGCCAGGAGCATCCGTCGGCAGCCACAAGGCTCAGTAATCCGCCGCGGAACACACCTTATCTTTCCATGCGCCAGGCACTGGCTCCATTATGAACCAGGGCGTCCTGACTATTCTGACAGAGCAGCAGCTTGCACCTGCTTCTCCAGAGAGCAAGGCTCGGCGCTACTGCCGCAGACTCTTGTTACTCCTAACGCTTGATGGTTTCCATAGCTTTGCTGCTCGCTCTCTCTCTCTCTCTCTCTCTCTCTCTCTCTCTCTCTCTCTCACACACACACACACACACA